GTTATTGTCGCCGTTGCCTAGCAACTATTTATTTTTATTTTTGCTGATTCCTCAAATTATTTCTTTACATAACCTTAATGTTGTAGTTGTGTTGACTATCAGTGTGCATTATTATTGTGGTGAATAGTGGTAATAGGGTATAGTGTGGTGAAAAATAGCGTTCGTACCACGGGCAGAAATGGTTTTGCAGCTCTCGATCGATTTAAGTTCTCGACTTCGTCTCGAACTTAAAAACTATCTCGAGCCGGCAAAACCTCATTTTCGGCCCTAGGTACGAAATATACTATTCTATAACAGTGTAGGCCTATGACCATTAATTTCACAGCTGGTAGATTTGTTAAACAGCTTAAACAAGTCTCGGTGGCTTTATGCGCAGTAATTGTGGTTCTCATATTTCATTTGTTGACCTATTAAAATGCAACTTTACTTAAAACTAAAACTGTATGAAACAAATAACTTTGGGGAAACTGGATATCAGTGTATTCAAGCGGTTTTTCAGCTCTAAGCATGAAATGTAAACAAAACAGATGCACATGACAACAGATTGTGAATGGTTAGACTGGATAAAGTAACATGACAATCCAGTGAATATCGTGTAAAATATTATATTTGATCGTCCAGCTGTGTGAATTGTATAACTAGAATGGAAACGACGTGTTGTTAATAGGTGACAAACAGATTTGTCTAAGTGCAAAGATTTTTTTGTAGGTTTAAAACATAAAATTTAATATATATCAAAAAACTTATAATTGGTTTGTATAGATGAAGATGATGCTTGTATTAGTTTATCAACAAAAAGTCATATTGTAATTTTATCTTAATTTTTTAAATATTATTACGAATATACATTTCTCTCTTGAAACGACGACTTAAAAGATCTAAAATGTACTAAATGAGTTGAAACTCAAATCAAACATAGATTTACTACTTTTAAGATACTTTAACGTAGAGAGTTTCTAACACGGTTTCCTCAATTGAAATAATTTAATTTAATGAACTATAATTGTTTATTAAAATTTAACGAATAACTCCAGCAATATAATACAATAGTATATTACGTTACTAGTCCTGAAAATAAGTGTTTACCGGACGAGTGTGGTCGTTCCCGTGCGAGACGAAGTCGAGTACGGGATTACCATACGAGTCCGGTACACACATTTTGGACGAGTTACGTACGATAGTTTACGCCATACTACTAAATCCGTACAAATCCTATATTTCCGCCAACTAAAGGACTAAAAATCACTAGTCATAACCTCTAAGATAGGTTATGTTTTTGTTTATAACCACTCAGTGTCACCTAAATACAGTATAATCAGCTGATTAGTGTCCGGTAAAACTCATTGCAGTACAGTAGTACGCAATGAAACCCCATTTGAATAAGCTGGCGGCAAACAGCTGTTTTCTGGACTAAATCATTGCGTGGGAAGTTCGTCAAAATAATGTAGTGTGGCGTAATAGTATATTACGTTACTAGTCCTGAAAATAAGTGTTTACCGGACGAGTGTGGTCGTTCCCGTGCGAGACGAAGTCGAGTACGGGATTACCATACGAGTCCGGTACACACATTTTGGACGAGTGACGTACGATAGTTTACGCCATACTACTAAATCTGTACAAATCCTTATATATTTCCACCAACTAAAGGACTAAAAATCACTAGTCATTGAGAGGTTATGTTTTTGTTTATAACCACTCATTGCCACATAAATACTAAATACAGTACAATCAGCTGATTGGTGTCCGGTAAAACTCATTGCAGCACAGTAGTACGCAATGAAACCCCATTTGAATAAGCTGGCGGCAAACAGCTGTTTTCTGGACTAAATCCTTGCGTGGAAAGTTCGTCAAAATAATGTAGTGTGGCGTAAAACTATATTACCACAGTTAGAAATTTTTGCATTAGTTAAATTAAGGGTCACACTACAAACAAGACATCAAATCCGGTCCTAAGATAAATTTGTACCCGCAGGTCCGACATCAAGTAATACGAGCCTTAGCAAACATAAAAACCTTAGTTCCAGCTAAAAGCTTAGCCTCATAACCGGAAATTGTTTACCAGGCCTATCTGGATTGTTTTAGTCTGTTTTCAGCCCAACGAGCTGTGACACTCGGGGTGATAATTTACGTTTTACTTGAACCGACAAAACGTTGGTACTTGAAACTCAAAAGTACAGGGTACAGGGTCTCGGTATAGTTTATTTCGATTGTAAACTCAATATAAAGGAAACTCGCGTTTTATTTACAACAAATGTTGGCTTTTATTGTTCAAGTTTCAGTGGAATTTCAATTTATTAAGAAATATTTCCCCCTAGATCGAGTAATCTTCAGGGTGATCTTTGCTCAATAGTTGCTGATGGAACTTATGTATTGTGTTTTGTAATTTTCTAGTATATTGTAGATGGCTTGTTCTAAACCATATCTAAACACCCATAAGACCAATGTTAAGCTTTTAAGATTATTTCTTGCAAAATACAAATTTTCCTGAGTTAGTGGCTTTGGCTAACCACGTTTTTAGGCATATTTCAAAAGCATTTTATTCAAAGGCCAAAGGCATTAGGCCTATTTCAAGTCCCTAATTTCAAAATTTAGTCAAAATCCTCCTTCCGCTGAATTGCGAGATATATATTACAGACAGACAGGCAAACAGACATAGCTCGTATTAGAGTATATGATTTATATTTACATTGCGGTTGTAAATGTATTTGTACTCTTAACATCAATGCATCAATAAAATTCATGCTTTGGGCCTGTTGGTAGCTATCAGAATAATTATATTATTGTGAGATTATAGTGGGATTTAAACCCAAAACCTCGGGGGCCGAAGCTCTGCGCTATATCTCTAGACCAGTTTTCTCGCCAACCTAAAGTAAGTTGTTAAAAGATTGTGTTTTAGGCTGTCCAAAAGAGATTTAATTCATAACAATTAATATATTATAAATCCACGAATTAACTTGTTGACTAATATTTAATGTTTTTTCATACTCTTAATTTCTTATTCACATACATATTCGCTATTAAATGACAGTTGCTCTGAAGATGGTGAATCTGATTTTGGTTACCATAAAATAAACCCTTAGGACGTCAACCCATTGGCCCACCGACGTAATAAAGAAAGCAACAGATATTTGTGTAACTAATGGGTGAAGTGACACTTTGCTGCAAACGAGTGAAATGTTTACGCACGAGCCGTAGAAGAGTGTGGAAAGTTTCTCGAGTGCGTTAAGGCAGTTTGCATTCGTGTTACACATTATATTTTTCCTAAACTTACTATAAATCATGTAAAGAATTAGTCTTTCAAACACTGTACAACACATTTTTAGGTTAGGTTAAATCCAAACATTGAACGAAATGGGAAACGCCGCACCAGCTGATCGTAGTCGTAATATCTTTAAGTGTTGCCAACTTATTTTCAAGTGCACACGGATTACGTGCATAATAAAAGCACGCTGTTTTGTGTTGTTTGGTTGGAATACTGGTGTGCGCCAAAGTAAGGCTTTCTGTACTATAATCTGTGCAAGGAAGCCCACTTTGTCGGGTGACTGTAGAAAAACATTATTAATTCACCAAAAACTTATAAAATTGAACAAACTAAATTTTTTACATTTTACCTTTACTAGCCAAAATATAAAATGACTAAGAATGTTGCTATTGCGAATTCTCTTAGGCGTCTGGATGAATTGCAATTTTAATATTTAACATTGTTTAGCCAAAATATAGCATAACAGCAATTTTGCCTCAAAGAAAGAATTAACACAGGCTTTCTTCAGTAGATTCCTTTAGGTTTCCGCTCTACATTTCCAGAAAGCAGGAAATTGAAGAGAAATGAGAGGTATTGACATACTTTATCTTGAGAAGAGCCTCTTTTCAGAGTCCACCCAATCCATTTACTCTTTATGGTACAATAAATCAGTCTGTGTAACAGCAGCTGAACAAACTTCTTCGATAGTTTGTTTGTGAAATTATTTTGTTCTAAAAGTAAAACTATCTTTAAAATTACGGGTGGGTGGAATTAATTAATACAGTAGATATTTTTTCCAACTATTGGAAGTTCCATAGCTTCGTCAAGAATGTAGTTTGTTATTTTCTTTTAAAATGTTATACTCTTACAAACAATTCATTTGTGTGTTCTGTAACGTTAAAATAATATAATAATATATGACGTATTTATAAGTTTTAATATAGAAAAGTTTTCACTTGATAATGAAGACTTGTTTTTATCAAGTATACTAAATATTTTTTTTACTCTGTTTGATACTGTTTCCTTGGACCATAATTAAACGTATTTTCCCGAACTAACCTACACGAATTCCTCTTTGTTCTAACACATCTTTACCGTTTTCTTTGTGGGATTAAGGTATTAATAGTATTTGAGTATGCTATACAAGATCACTAATTTTGGCAACATTTCCTTGAGCCTTTGATTGCTACTTTTTACATTTTATAGCTTTGATGATGTTGGATTACTAGATATTCCTCAAAAACTTCGTTTGAAAATTCAACAGTTACGTTAGGTTTTATTAAGAAGGTTCCTCTCACCGGCTGATTACCACGTAAACATGGTCCTACAAAAAAGAACCTCGTGACATATTTAAGTGTTTATCGAGTTGAAATGAACTGTAAAATATTCACAAGGATCCAAACTAAGCACTGGATGAAATGAAACTAAACTTCGTAATTGTTTCTTTAAGTATTTAAAAAATAATTTTGAAAATACGTAAATTATTCTTTTCAAATGTGATGTTAACTTCTAAATAATAGCTAATACATTGCAAGCTCTGATGTTAGGAGCACACAAAACACACAATCTTTGGAAATAAATTAGATTTAGAATGTTGAGAGCTTGTAAAATAGAGGTATGTTCAATCCCGAAGAACCCTCTTTAATGAGTAAGTTTAATCTATGGTTTTATCAGCTGAAAAACTTTAGAAAACATTGGAATTATTATTCATTGTCGACAGCTGTATAATTCGTATTTATTTACAAACAACTACATTTTTGTTGCTTTGTAACTCTGCACGATCATCCTACTAATTTTAAAATAAAAGTAATACTTCTAAAATGTCTTACTTAGACCTTTCAGACCCTGTAAGGAAGGTATTTGATACAATAGACAAAAAAAGAGGAAGCTACATAGAAGTTTTGAAAGAAGCCGTCAACATAAGATCGGTCAAAGGTGATTATGCCGAAGCAAAAAAGATAATTTCTTGGACAGAAAAGAAATTTAGGGACTTAGATGCAGGAACAACTCTTCAAGACGTAGGCTCGGTAATGATGGATGGAAGGAAGATTACGTTACCTCCAGTCTTGATAGCAGATTTCAAATCTGAAAATTCCAAGATGACTTTACTAGTTTACGGCCATTTGGATGTAACTCCGTCTCCTCCTGGAGTAGAATCGGGTGATAATGAATCATCATTCAACCTTAAGGAAGAAGACGGAGCTCTGTTTGGAAAAGGAGTCACAGACTCCAAAGGTCCTCTGTTGTGTTGGATGAACGCGATACAATCCTACAAAGAATCTGGAATGGACCTTCCTCTGAATATAAGGTTCGTCATCGAAGCTATGAAAGAAAGCGGAAGCGTCGGTCTCATGGATTACTTACAAGAAAGCAAAGGATATTTGTTCAGAGGTGTTAACTTCGTTTGTATTTCGGACAGCTCGTGTTTGTTTGCTGACAAACCAGTCATCACGTACGGTTTGAGAGGATGCTGCAAGTTTAAAGTCACTGTTGAAGGAGCGAAGTGCGACTTGCATTCCGGGGTACATGGAGGAATGATCGCAGAACCTATGACAGACTTGGTGTATCTTCTATCCAACCTATCCAACATCAAGGGAGAGATTCTTGTACCTAACTTACGTGATGGGATAGAAGATGTCACTCCTGACGAAGAGAAGAATTACCACAGGCTTTCCTTTGACGTTGGGAAGTTCAAAAAGGAGTCAGGAGTGGATAGACTTTTGCACAAAGAGGATAAAAAGAGGCTGTTAATGCATCGTACAAGATTTCCTAGTTTGACTATCCACAGCATAGATACAGGAGATTCCGTTGGAGATGAAGTAATTCCTTGTAAAGTTTCAGGGACTTTCACTATCAGAATAGTCCCTAATCAGAATCCAACCGAAGTATTTCACCGAGTCCAAGGCTATCTTGTCTATCTTTTCAATAAAGTTCAAAGTCCTAATGAGCTGACAATCGACATGCCTGTAGGGATCCCTGCATGGCTGGCGAAGAATGACGATGACAACTACAAGGCAGCAAGCAAAGCAATCTTCAAAGTTTACAGACAAAAGCCAGAACTCGTCCGGGAAGGCTCTACGATTCCCATTGTGTATCAGTTGCAGCAGTTGTCAAAGAAGAATGTTTTGCTGCTGCCGGTAGGTAACAGTGACCATTGCATACTGAAGAATCGGGACAGGATCGACGTGAAAACCTTTATGGACGGCGCTAAAGTCGTAGCTGCTTATATTCAAGAACTTTCTACCACCAAATTGAAAAAGTGATTTGTAACTGATTTAAAGTTATCATCAATAAATGTTTTTTAAACATTAAAACTTTTTTCCTGTGATTCTGTCTGGTTTCTCAAACTTATAGCTTTAGAAGGACAATTTCTTATACGATGAATGGTCAGATTGTTAGTCAAGCTTGTTAGTTCAAATGAACTATTTTAAAGATATATTTCTAAACTGCATTTTTTTGTTTCAGGAGATGGGACCGATGACACACCGTTTGTCTCAGACAAAGACAAAATGTCGGGATACGAGACGAATCTCTATCTCTACTCGGTTAGTAGATTTGTTTATAGCTACATTTTACTGGTTTTTATTCTATGTTTGTACAGTCTTTAAAGTACTTCTTGATTACCAATAATATGATAAAAAGGTTTCCAATGCTTTCTAAAAAGGACTCATTGTACCTATAAAAAACTGTTTCAACAAAAGAGAGTGCTAGTATGATACAGAAAATATTTAATGAAGTTTAACATGATTGGTCAAAACAATGTGTATTCATCTGCTGTATTTCAAGTCTCATTTGTTTTCCATTTATACCTTCCCAGATACTTCTCTCTGCCTCAGGTGTATATAAAATTAAATTTCATTTGAAAACAATATACTGTCGCGTACATTTTAATTAAATTGCCCCATAGAGTAGACCCAAAATAACTCGATTGACATGATTGAATTGTTGATGAAGTCGTGTCAACTTTATCGGTACCTACTGTAACGTTATTCCCAAGATTAATTATTTATTTTTCATTTTGCGCAAATTCAGTCTAAAATAAAATTCCATACTTTTCAAAAATTTGTGGTTAAAACAATATATTTTCTGTTAAATTTAGAGATCCCGAGATAAAACCAAATTTAGTTATTCTTTCATTGTTTTGTTCTTTTCTAAAAATTAACAAACTAAATGCGAATAATTTATGGGACATTTAAAACAATTAATTCTTTGTACAAACTTGATCCCTGTGAACAAACAAACCCTTTCCTCGCTTATCTGTCAACAAAATAAATACATTTCTTTGATATTTCAAACTTCTTTAAATAAAAAAGCTAAATAATTAAATTAAATTTCTTATATTCTAAATTAAATTAGGCTACAATAATTTCTTCTTTAATAAAACAAATTTACCATTGCTAAATTATTCTATAAACTTTAAATTCAATACTGTAGCTATCATTTATTGTTTCAATATCCAAATTCAACTTTTTTAAAGAGGTTTTGATAGCAAAAAAAGTGCCTTTTATATTTACATCTCTTACCAATTGAAGGCAAAATTAAATATTTAATAAGAAAACAACTGTGATCTTTCTTGTGATTACAATAATTAGCAGGGAGAGGGGCAAATAATTATATTCAAATTACAGACAATTAAATAAACTTACTACTCATTGAGTAGGCTGCAGAAATTCACCCCAAGTCCTTGACACTGTACAACATCTACACTCTTGAGCTAATAAACCCGCGTGGAGGTAGCTCCCTTAGTCTATATAAGTTAGCCCAGCTCTGGAACCTTTCACCCTGGAAATCAAACCCTGTTACACTACATATAATTTAATACTAAACAAATCCCCCTTTGAAGTGACATCTAAGTTTTTTGCTAGCAAAATTACTTTTGACTAGTATCTATACCCACTATTTCCAACGCATAATTGTAGAATATAAAATAACATATAGCAAATCTCATGTGCTGGCAAGCACTGGTAAACCTGTTGAATACAATGAATTACAACAACCCAACTTCAGTTTAACATGGCAGGTGTAAGATGCTTTCAATAAGCCCTCGCTGTTGTAATGGTAGTAATGCACTGGTTGTAACCAAGTTTCTCTGAGTGCTGCTACACCACAGTTCCACAGGGATCTGCGGAATCGAGCAATCTAAGTGATGAGTTTTACTAATAAGCACCGAACCGACTTTTCAAGTTAAGATCCTTGCCTATTTGGAAACAATTTCTTCATTGTGTTCACTTCAAGCTTGTTTGAATATATGGATTCAAATACCTTGATGATTATGGTTTAACTAGGGGAAACCCGTCGAAATCGACGGTTACTTTCAAGGCTTACGTTAATTCATCTAACTGCGATAAATTGGGTGAAATATACATATTTTGAGCATTAAGCATTGTTTAAAGGGTAGTAAGTGTGAAAACAATAATGATTTTAATTGCGTTAGTTGCCAAATTTGGTTGATCATTCAATGATTAAAATATTTCCCATACCGTACGTCATTTGACTCATCGGAGTTATTATTAGTATGTTATATGATATCTCTTCTTTTGGAAGAACCTTTAAATAGTATTAAAATCGTATTGGTGGGTCTTTTGTAGTTAAACACTTCTGTGATTTCATCAGTGTAATATGATTTTATTTGAAATGAAAATATTTTTTGGGAAGAAATCTAACTTCAAAGGGAGGTATGTCCGTTACAGTGTAAGTTTGATTTTTCCTTCGTCACGTCGCGTCAGTTCATATCGTACTTCTGTGCCAATGAATGAACCCTCTAGCATAGTTATGAGAAATTTATTGTGGGGTTACTGTTAAAGCTGGAATTCCTTGACATGGGGGATGTCAGTTAGTTGTCTCAGCCTTATCAATAACATAAAGTTGTCAATATAATTTCTCTACGGAATGATAGGTGTAGTGGAATACTTGAAGTGAAGTTGGCGTTTATTCTTAAACTGTTAGGGACCTCCTAGTTTATATGGTCTTGCGGCTTCATTGGCAACAAATAATGCAAATGACATAGCAATGGGACATTTCCAAAAAGAAAAAATACTGTAAATTGGCTGTTGCGTATATATTGACGTTTACATATTGTAAATCAACGTATCTTATAAAAGATTATGAGGTCTAGTTTAAAAGGAATATGACCTTTCTGTCATGACAGTAGCTGCTAAAATAGTATTTTCTCTTTGTTGTTACCTTCCAAAATTATATTTATACCTCAGCTATACTCAGTGGGTGAGTGGGTTAGGTTAGGAGTTGAATTTCTAAGACTAGGTCAGGAAAAAGCGCCACTTGTTTTTTTTTTAAAGGTTAAGGTGAAAACAAGAAACCCCCTTTTAAATTCGAATACATATCAATTTACTCAATCAATAAATCACAAAACACAATTTTTTTATAAATGTGAACCGTTAATTCAGAGCTCATAAAAGTTACAAAGTATTTTGTTACTCAAAAATATTTCCAAACCCCTAAGTTTATGACTTGCTTCAGAATACAACAATTATAATACAATTCCAAGTAAATACCTAAATTACAAAATATTTCGGACGTCCGTCTACTATATATTTAAATCAGAAACCCTTTTTTTTTTGTTTTAAGTAGATAAGAGAACAAATAATTATTATATATACACAATACACCAATATAGAACAAGTTAAGAATAAAAGTCAAGAATTACTTAGGCTTAAAGCCATTAAATAACTGTGCAGTAGCACGACACAGTTCATAGGTTCGATGATCGGTTACTCAGCTGGAAAAACTGTCCCAGAGAATCACAGCACAAGAAAATTGGAAAAACATAAGTGTCTGACCTTAAGTGTTGAAGCGTAGTCACCACAAGTTATCAATAATATATCCTAAGGTCCAGGTAGATTATTGTTGGTCTCAAATTACAACCTTCTAGAAGTTTCCTCAATAAGTGATAATCTCAACAGGGTATACTCAAAAAAGCCTGAAAATGTAGTATACCTAGCATTAAACAGTGTCATAAAAGTACAGTTCCGGGAATCCTGAAATATTCATTTACATATACAATGTGTATGGAACAGAAACAATATAAATTGATCTTGGTAACTCGTCAAACATTAAATTGCAACATCATTAATAATATTAATTGTTTGTAAGTAGAATCAATTAAGAGTTAATATTACAAATTCAATAAGTACCTTTCCTTCAGCAATCATATACTACTGTAGTAAAATACCTCAATTATTGTACTCATAAATCAACATTAATAATAATCTTTGTATATGAAATAAAAATTATATTTGCAAGGTTAAACAGTGAGATTCACATAATAAAAATTGATTAATCACAAAACTGAACAAATTTAACATGTAACTTTAATTTTCATAAATTATTAGCATTACCGTTACTGCAACGGTAAACGATTGTAAATAAGATATTATTTCTTTACTACAAAACTAACATGTCAATACATTTACAAATTAAAGATGGTGAAACAATTAATTTATCAAAACAATTATTAACTGTAATAAGAGGATAGAATATTCAAAAAATTACCATAAGATTCAATATTCAGTTACATAAGACTTGCAGGAAAAGTTTTGAGATAACACATCTGAAATCCTGAGTTGAATGGTATTACTTTCTGGATAAAAATTGATTATTTAAAACACAATACATTTTTCCCAATATTTACAAGAGAATGGATTTTTTTCATCAGGTTTCCTTCATAGTAATACAGTTTGAAATGAAATTAAATTAAGCATAGACAAATGTACTCACCCTATGGGCTTTTGAAGATAAGTTTTTCACAGATAAAAATTCCTTAAATACATTAATCATAAATAGACAAAATTTCCTTATTTGCACATATTTACAGGTAGTTAACATTTCATTTTCACTTGAGAAATAGGTATGTATTCTTGAGTTTTAATATCCCAACAAAAGGCTACAAAAATTATTTAACTCAACATAGAACACATTAAATCCTGCTTCAGCAGTAGTCAATTCCCAAGTGACGCTCTGTAATGGTTAGTTCAAGTTGGCAGACAGGAAATTTTTGGAATTCAGGAATGGAATGTAGAGATAAGGATGGTTGAGTACACAGTCCAACTGTAGACAATAGATGCTCGGAAATTCACTTCCTTTTTAAACTAAAATATTGAAGAGCTGAAATGTGAAATCTTTTGAAATAGTTTTATAAAATATAAAATGGTCACACTCCACCCTTTCTTCAAAAGAAAAAAATCCATTCACTTGAAGTGCTCGTGATCTTCAGAAATCTTCTTAGTCTGGAATCAGTTCCTCGTGTGATGATGTGTATGGTTTCAAGTCCTCAATGTGCCATCTTCCAACCATTCGACCAACATTGTCTTCAAGTTCGTAAATGAGGGGTGACACCTTTCTTGAAATTGTGTAAGGTCCAACAAAAGCAGGTGCAAATTTTGAGATCACATTCTTCTCCTTGCTAGACTGGACGAAGTTCCTCTTCCATACATGATCTCCTTCATAGAATTCCATGTTTCTTCTCCTGAGGTTGTATTGCCGTGCGCTTCTGATGTGAGCAAGAGCCAGACGCTTTTCAACATCTTCA